TTTCTTTCTTTCTTTCTTTCTTTCTTTCTTTCTTTCTTTCTTTCTTTCTTTTTTTTTTTGAGGCAGACAGGGTTAAGTGACGTGCCTAGGGTCAGACAGCTAGTAAGTGTCTGAGGCAGGATTTGAACTCAGGTCCTCTTGACTCCAGAGCAGGTGCTTTATCCACTGTGCCACCTGACTGCCCCTCCCTTCATTTCCCAAGAGCTCCCACCACCAAACATCAGCCTGAAGTCCTGGAGCTACAGACAGCAGCATATCTAAAAGTCTGCAAAGAGACTACAAGGGAACAGTGAGGAGCTGGGGGAGACTTCATTCTCATTGGTTAGAGCTTTAGAACCAGAAGAAACCTTCATTCAGGCAGTATGATGCAAAAGACAGATTTGAAGCCAACTTGGATTACTCCAAAGCAAATATTCTTTCATTGTACAGCAATGCCTCAGTTCACACTGCCATCATGCACCTCTGCTGCAACAGATTTGAAGCTCTGAGCTTACATCACTAAGATCCACCCATGACCCTAAGTGGAGGCAGAATGGCTCTGGTAGGAAAGTTATCCTGTCAAGAAAGACACCCTTCCCAACATTTTGTCCCCAAATAGGCTGAAAACAGGCCTTCATTTTATCTTTACCTTCTACAATCTGAGTAGAGACAGAATTGTCCAAGGATTAGTCTTTGGGAAAACAGAAAGACCCAGGGTGAGTAGCTTTCCCTTTCTGGGCCTCAGTCTGCTCATCTGTAAAACGCAATGGTTGAAATGGATCCACTTGGTGGATTGCCAAGGTCTCTTCCAGCTATGATGGTCTATGACTTGTGATCTTTGACCCAGAAGCTTTCCATCCTGTCCTTCATCCCAGCATCCTCTTCACTAGGACTGGGCCCATGCAACAGGAAGGAGTCATTATTTATCCTCTTTTCTGGCATCAGCAGCAACTCTTGGTTGCATTTTTTGTTTACTCACCACAGAGTCTCCCACCCATATCAACAGGCTCCTCATCAGACCAGTCTCACAGGGATGGATTTTTTTTTGGCCTTATCTCTCATAGGCCCATCTATCTACTAAAATGTATACTGGTCTCCACCCACATTGATAGAGAAAATTACCACACCACCAAAATCACAGATCCTTGAAGTATAAAAGAAATGCATACCATAGGATAATATATTCGGAGCTAGAAAGAACCTTCAAAGCCATCATATTTACAGATGAGGAAAGTGAGGCACAGAGAAGTCAAGGGATTTGCTCAAAGCCACATAGCTAATGAGTATCAGAGGAAGGATCCAAGCTAAGGTCGCCCTGACTCCATTTCTAGCACTCTCTTCGCTATGCAGAGCTGAGAAGGGAAAGAGAAGCCACAGGAGACCGAGGGTCATTTTGTATTTGTGTCTGTTTTATGTGCCGCTGGGGCCTTCTAACCTAGCTGCTGGTAATAGTCTCTATGTACTGAAATGAGCTGGTTCTTGGAAGGCAGATCCAGGCTGATGTTGTCATTTCCCAATAATAGACCACATCAATGCTTGCCTATTCCTGGGCAAAGTAGCCAGGGTCATCTCCACACTACTGGATGGAACTGGGCTGGACCAGGACTTTTGGGGAGGCCATATGTCTAAGCCTCTTATAAATGTTTATACTTTCTTTTTTTTTTTTTTTAGGCAATTGGGATTAAGTGACTTGCCCAGGGTCACACAGCTAGTAAGTGTCAAGTGTTTGGTCTGAGGCCGGATTTGAACTCAGGTCCTCCTGACATCAGGGCTGGTGCTCTATCCACTGCGCCACCTAGCTACCCCTAAACGTTTATACTTTCGAAAGTCCTAGGATAATCAGCTTAGAATACTGCTAATATTAAAATACTAATGGATGGTGATGATGCTTTTATAAAAAACATTACAGTACACAAAAGTACTTTTCTATGCTGTTTCATTTATTCCTCGCAACAGCACTGTGAGGTAGGGAGGCCAGGACAAAGAAAACAGCGGGGGTTTTTTTGTTGTTTTTATTTTTTTTCTTCAAAAAACATTTGGGAAGATCAGAAGATCCTAGGTATAGTGGTAAAAGGAATCTGGAAGACCATCTAGTAATAATAATAATAATTAGCATTTTATATAATCACTTTAAGATCTGCAAAGTATTTTATGTATATTATCCCACTTGCTGCTAACAACAACCACCCTGGGAAGTAGGTGTTATTTTTTTTTAGCCGTTTTTGGTGAGGAAATTGGGGTTAAATGACTTGCCCAGGGTCACACAGCTAGTATCTGAGGCTGGATTTGAACTCAGGTTTTCCTGACTCCAGGTCCAACGCTTTATTTACTACCTCACCATTAAAGGAGAAGCAGCATAAAAGATATCATCAGACATATGATTGGAGGAAGGGGTGAAGGAAAAAATGGTCCGGTTACACTGTGAGAACAAAAGATATCAGTGAACAGCCCCATGCTTTCCACTCAATATTTAAAAAGAATCGAATGTCAAAAATAAATAAATAAATTTGGGGAAAAAGAAATAACTAACTATGGGGATCTCAACTGATATAATGAACAAAAGATACTGAGGATAGGTGGTCTCTAACCGTTTCTTGCCAGCACTTAGCATTGTTTGTTTAACTCTGCTCCTGGGAGATGACAGGACAAATACAGGGAAGACCAATGCTGCCAAGAAATTCAAGCATAAACTAAAAAGAAAATGCCAGATAACTGGAGGAGGAAAAGAGCATGGACAACTGAGATTTGCTGAGAAGGTTTTGCAGAGGAAACAGCCCCTGAGCTGAGCCTTAAAGGAAGTCACGGATTCCAGGAGGTGGAAGTGAGGAGAGCAAGCACTTCTGGAATGAGGAGCAGCCTGACTGAAGGCCAGAATGCCCAGTTTGGGAAGCAACAGGTAGCCTGGTTTACCTTGAAGGGCACCGAAGCGAAATAAATCTGGAAAAAAGATCTGCAGGTCGTCAACGAACCCTACTGAGATAACCAATACATACATGATCCAAGCACTGAGACAAAGAAAATTAGTTCAAATCCTGCCCCTTCTGCTTTGCTGTGTGACTGGGAAAGCCATTTCTGCTGCATAGGTTTTTAATTTTCTCACCTATAGAATGAAGGGGTTAGACTAAATCTAGGGTTTTTTTTAAATTTTATAACCTGCAACTTTACTGAAGTTGTTAGTTGTTTCTTTTTCCCCAAATTTATTTATTTTTGACATTCGTTTCTTTTTAAATATTGAGTTCCAAATTCTTTCCTTTGCTCCTACCCCTCCCCCACCCACTAAGAAGGAAAGCAGTATGACATCAATTATACAAGTGAAATCATGCAAAGCATATTTCCAGGGTCCATAAACGTTTTTTAACCTTTAATAACTCTTTTAATATAACTAGTTTCCTTTGTATTTCTATGTATTTTATATTATGTATCTAAAATCAGTATTCTGAGATGTGGTCCACAGTGCTTCACCAGACTACCAAAGGGGTCCATTACACAAAAAAAGGTTAAGGATCCCTAACCTAGAATATCTTAGTTCCTATACAACTTTAAGTCCTATTATCCTATGTGGAACTGAGCCAGCCTCATCAGGGGAGTATGACTTCCTACAAGGAAGAAATCCCCTCATGGAGAAACTCCTTTATTTTTTTTTTTGTCTGTTTATTTGGGGGGAGCGGCAGTTGCGAGGCAATTGGGGTCAAATGACTTGCCCAGGGTCACATAGCTAGTGTCACATATCTGAGGCCATATTTGAACTCAGGTCCTCCTGACTCCAGGACCCGTGCTGTAGCCGCTATGCCACTTAGCTGCCCCGAAACTCCTTTATTTGAAGGCACAGTTCTTATATAGCCTGGCTTTGTTCTAGAACCACCAGTGAAATGAAACCAGATGAGAACTCTCTAGTAACCCGTCAAAACCTCAGGAATTGAACACCGGCCCC